AAAAAGAAGAACCAAAAACTATATTTCTATTTCTTGTTGTACACATTGATTATCAGTGTATAGAGTTCTTATTAATGGACAAAGTGTAGATAATCAGTTTTTAATGTTTTGCAAATGCATAAACACATACCATATATGTATATATGTATATATATATGTAGTATCCATATGCATCCACCCTTTAATTAATAATCACTAACTGTCTTCTCTAACCTGTCATCACTTATGGTCTAGTCTAACCTTGAAAGCTGAACAAGTTACTCCTTGTCTTAAACAAAATGTATATACATATGTATATAAAGCATTATTTAATTATATCAATAGAGGGGGGGGTATATATGTAGTGCACCTGTAATTATGTTTCTTATTTCATTGTCAGTATCTTTTTTTGCATAGACATCGACTTTTTGGATTCAAGAATTATGTTAGTTTCGAAATGCTTTCAAGTAATATAGTCGACATTATTTAAGAAAATACATTAATGTATATTCTATCTACCTATAGTCGGACTATTTAGCAAATACTCTGATTAATTATCAATGATGGGGGTGGGGTGTTACTACATAGATACACAATTGTATAAACAGCACATATTCGCATAAACACAAACCTCCATAATTCAAGTAAATAGGGTAGAGTGTAATAATTATATATATTCGATAGTGGTAGTTTTATTACGTTAATCGTAAGTCGGTGTTGTTTAAATAATTAAAAAAAAAGCATTTTTTTTCTTTTGAAAAATGCCGCTAACTTTAAAAAAAAAAAGCACATTCACCCCCCCCCATACGGGTTATGTAGGTGTAAATGTTGTATACACTATGATATTAATAAAAAAGAAAACCCAATAAGCATATAAACACGTTCCAATATTCTATTAAACTAAGTAAGATCAATCAAAAAAGAAGCGGGTTAGATAAAAATGGAACACAGTAGGATAGATAAATGGAATTTCAATATAAACATATAATAAACTACAAATTATTCAATAGTATCTATCTATTTTATTTATTTCTTCTTCTTCTTCTTCTTCTTCTTCTTCTCCTCCTTCTCCTCCTCCTCCTCCTCCTCCTCCTCCTTCTTCTCCTCCTTCTCCTCCTCCTTCTTCTCCTCCTTCTTCTTCTTCTCCTCCTCCTCCTCCTCCTCCTCCTTCTTCTTTTTCTTCTTCTTCTTCTTCTTCTTCTTCTTCTTCTAAGGAATTATGCTTATAAAAAGTATTTCCATATTAATTATTGTTAAACTGACTATTAGACATAATGAATATTAATCAAAAGAAGACAATAAGAAGGGAGTTTTATGATTTTCATAGTTGAAAGCGTTAATCAATTATAGCTAGACTACCAGAGAAAACCTGAAAGCGCTAGACAGCCATTTCGTCCTATTGTGGGACTCATCAGTGGCAGTGTGCATCCACGACCTCACCTAGCGAGATTCGAACCCAAGACATACCAGTTTCCCACCAGAGCACTTAACTGATAGACCACTGAGCCGGCGTCTCATGATGTCCAGTGCTTCCAGGTTTTCCTTAGTGGTCTAGCTTTAATTGATTCATGCTTTCAACTATGAAAATACTAAATCTCCACAAAAACTCCTTCTGTTAATAATTTTATGATTGCTTACTATCACCAAGCGATTTATGAATGAATTTCATTTTTAACACACATAATAGGAATATCGAATGAAACTGATAAATTATGGTAAGTAAGGGGTTATAGTAAATATGTTTAAATTATATTAACACATTGATGAATGATTAAAATGATAAAATATGATGATGGCGGTTGTAGGTGGTCAACAGGAAATCCTGCACCCAGGTTTCGTGTTACTAGGCACACGTCAGCAAGATGTACCTGTAATCTTGAGGGAACTGATGCTCCCTGACGGATTCGATCCCGTGTTATCCAAATTCACAGTTAGAAACGTTTCCACTGATCTATCCGGGCCGTGACCAACCTCCTGTAGGACTGAGATGTAATCACAATTGATTGATCACCATCTAGTGATCAATCACTTGTGATGATGAATTGTAAATAGAAATATGCGCAACTCGCCAAATTATCCCACCCAAAAGAAGAAAAAACAAAGCATAACCACCTCTCTATTTCTAGATCTAACACGTTATATAAGTAGTTTTACAGATAATGAAAGGATTAATAATTGGGAGATTCGAAACGACTGTTTTATTTCTTTCTGAAAATCGGTGAAATACTTCTAATATAACTTGAGGTATTGACTAATCAGTCGGTTAGGTTTTTCCACTGACATATCGATTTTTGGTGTGTGTGTGTGTGTGTAATCCATCAGTTTGCTATAACAATGAGGTGTTGGAAAGACATTGTCCTGTGGTAGTTATGAAACTGTTTTATATAAACCTTGTGTTTACCATTAGTAGACAACAATAAAATACCTAGCAACAAGTATTTAATTCATAATTTGTGCATAAACAGATCAATTCGAACACTTCACTTCTACCTGAAGTTTGGGCTGATGATGTCGTTCAGAAGGGCGATTCAAGCTCCACGATCAAACCATCCAGTTCAAAGAACAAAACCTCATCAAAAAAAAATAAGATCAATCACATCTTGAAAACATCACCTCCGAAAAACAAAACTTGGGAAAGTTTGATTTCATCTCTTTATTTTTACTGAGCTTACGTAAATAACAAAGTATTGAATATCACAAATATTTACATCATTGTATATTTTGTTAACTACTGATTAAATCTAGTAGTATGTTTATTTTTATAAAATTTTAGGTAACTGAGCCAATCAACATGACGTCATTCTAGAAAAAAGCATTGATCACATCATTAATCTCGAAACTTTTAACCGAATTTTTTTTAAAATATTAAATCTTGTTCTTACTGGTAGGAGCTTATGTTTAGTTCACCTTATCTAGACGTGAAAATTTTAACTGAAGTAGATTGAACGCTTAATAGATGTCATGATATTTTCATTATTCGCCTTACTTACTTACTTATATCTTTTACGCCTCGTCGAGGAGCATAGGCCGTTCACCAACATTCTCCAGCCAACCCTGTCCTGAGAAAACCTTTCCAGTTCTTTCCAGTTAACATTTATCATTTTCATATCTGCTTCTATTTATTTGGCTTTCCTCTTTTCCTCTTCCCTTGCGGATTCCAAGTTGGGGATGGCCTCGTAATGCACATTGGTCATTTTCTTAATGTATTTCCTATCCATTATCCGCCTACTATGTTGTAAATTCAGATAATACATAATTTAATAGTTGAATTCATGAGTCGATGAAAGCTAGACCACCATCGTAAATCAGGAAGCTCTGGACAGCATTAAAACCGTTAGATTACGGCTCACTGGTCTAGAGGTGAAGCGTTTGTAGGAGAGACTGGAAGTCCTAGGTTCGAGTGTCGCGTTTGCGATCGTGGATACTTACTGTTGAGGAATCCCAAACTGGGACAAAACGCCTATCCAGTGATTTCAGCTTTTCCATGTTGATCTAACATTGATGCATTCATGATATCAATCTATAAAAGGAAAATGAATGCACTTTAAAGCTTTATTCTATTTACCAGGTATATTACTTAAATCTAGAATTTTCTTAGTGTAGGTTTTGTGTTACTTGCGATATTATTTTTAATGTCAAAACGGCGGGGCGAAATGTTCAGCTAAGACTGTTTCTATATGAAAAGGAAGTCTGTATTTCAATCTTAATGAATTACTCATTATTCTCAACAATGATTTGATGAAATGACTATGAATTCGTTTAGTATAAGACTTTTCTGGACTAGGAATCCATGACCTTACCAGGATACTAGGAAGAAGAAACTATCCAGTGTCTCTTGGATCTCTGTAATTGTCTAACTGAGTTGGGTCGGTAATATGAACTATGAAATCTCAGTAACATTTTATGATTATTTGTTGTTGACTTGTAGACGTTATTCCTGTACACAAAATATGCAGAATGATAGGCAAATATCACCAATAACGACGGGTGATTTCTATTCATTATTACGAAACGATTGAATCCAGAGATGTAGACCATCAGATATAAGCTCAGAGTATTGAATATTAAGAGCTCTCGGAGAGATGAGCACTACCGAAAAGTTTTGTCTGATAACGATAAAACTGTCCAGTACTATCTTATTTTCAGGTGTTTTCTAATTAATACAAAACAACGATTTGAATTATCGAATTCAACAAACCCCATATATAGATTTAAACTTAACTTGTAGCTTAGGAATAATCTGTTTACTTCATATTTAACCCTTATAAAAAAATATGTTTTATTGTTCGTCATTTTAGCTACATGATAACTGTACCTCTTAAAATTAACATTAAATATCAGGAGGGGTTTTTGTGAATATTATAGTAATTTTACTAGTTGAGTTCATGCGTCAATTCAAGCTACACCACCATGGAAAATCTGAGAGCACTGGATGGCCGTTTCGTCCTACTTTCGGACTCCTCGGCAGCGCGCATCCACGATCCCGCCCAGGATCTATCAGTCTCACGCGCGAGCACCATCACCTCCATGATAGTCTATTCTTAATTGACTCATGATCTTAGTTATTAACATTACTTTTTTTCAAAAGATGTAATTATTTACCTGTGCAACAATAATAAGTTTTAATTATAATGGGTTAAGTCTAAACGTGTGATTAACTTAATGCCATACTTATCAGTTTAATATATCCGGATCTTAATTTATTTTCTATTTAAAGGAAAGTAACTTGTCTAATGTATTCCCAATATTCCAAATATGGAACTCCTCAATAGTGTGCATTCACGATCCCACAATTAGGACTCGAACCCATGACCTTCATTCTCACGCGTGAACGCTGACCTGGCATTCAATAGTGTTAGTGTCCCATTCAATGATGGTCTAACATTGATCCATTCATGATCTTAAAGCTCAACTATCTCCACAGCTCTATACTGATGATTTCCTATTTTACTCTTTTTTAGATATTTAAAAATCCCTGATAATCTTATGTTAAACATGTGGATATTCATCATATACTACTAATGTTAAGAAAAGCTATTGATTCAATGTTAATTTTACTACGTTTTGATGAAAGAAAAGATTATTATAATTCAATACCACAAAATTGGCTATGGAATTCTACATTTGTAGACAGTTCTTTTCTTATCAATACTACTACTGCTACCACTACTAATACTACTACTATCAAAAATATAAGTAGTACAAATAGTAATATGAATTGTGATAATCTAATAACAACATTCCATAATACAGATCAAATTAAAACACCATTATTAACCGATTCTAATGAATTTCTATATAGAAAAAATGATTATAACAATAATAATACTACTTATAATGATAATAGTAGTAAAAATAATAATAATAAAATAACCCGTGCCAAATCAATATCCAATCGTAATTCAATGATTCATTATTCAAATGTTAATTATAATAAACGATCCAAAAGGAATAATAATAACCACAACCATAAATGTAATGAAAAGAGGACTAAACGAAGGAATCAATTCAATCATATACGTTTACATAGTTATGATGAAAATATTCAAAATTTTTATCATGAAGATGGTGAATTTAGTACAGATGTAACATATTTACCATTAAGTGAATTTAATCATTCATTGGATCCATTGAAGGTTTCAAAGAAGACAACCGTCTATACTACTACTACTACTACTAATACTACTACTACTACTTATAATAATAGTAGTAATACACAAAATAGTGAGTTGACCATAGATGAAGGAAATAACTTTAATTTTCCATCATTACCAATAGTGTTACATCCACGAGCACAAATAGTACAGCAAAATCTAGAAGCGCCTTCATCATCAATATCATCATCCTCGTCGTCGTCATCATCACCATCATCATCATCATCATCATCATCATCATCAAGTTCAACAAAACAAATAAACCATTCAGATTTATTAATAAACAATCATTCTAATTTAATATTTAAAAATGTAAATAAAAATAAACGAAATCAAATGGATAACTTTCATTTATTCAATAATGATCATAATATAAATAATCGAAATCAACAAGTAACACAAAATTACCCCTTTCAAGGTCAACAAGAAGTCACCTTGGCAACACAAAACAATAATAATAATAATCATCACAATATATTTAAAGAATGTATAACTGATTGTTTAAAATTGAATCAAGTAAGTTAATATTTGAATGATTGAGTTAAATAATGTTGAATCGTTAGTAGTTGAAGATTCTCTATGATCAACAGTTCTATATAGTTTTAGTCTTAATAGCTATAAGTGGATAACGTAATGGGGTTTGAAGTGAACGGTACTGGGTTTGAGTCCAAGAGCGAACATCAACTTTGAGATGCAGGTACATTCAGTTGACGAGTCCAAAATAGGGCGAAACGCGCGTCCTAGATTCCTCTGCTAGCCACTATGCATGTTTCCTTGCAACCATATGGTTGTTTGTCATATATATGTATGTATGACATATCCTGAAATGATCCCTAACTTACCTGGCGTCATAGTCTGGATTGAATGCGGGAAGATGGATAACCATATCGTTCTGTAGCCAAATAATTGATTAAATGAAGTCATAGAATGAAATAACAACTTTTTATTTTCACATTTTCTAGTTAGCGCTTTTTTAACGAGTTAGTATTTCTACAGGATGAGGTCGCTAACCCCATGCCCAACCCTCCTCCTTCACCCAGTCTTGAGACCGGCAGTAATTCTAGAAGAGCTACAGGTGGAGTTAAATTTTCACATAGAAACTGTCAATGTGACATTCGTATATTCACGAAATTGATCATCAGCTAACAGTTTAAATCTTCGCTATATGTTTAAGAGAGAATTCGCTATTATCTTCAACTTCTATTATCATATGAACCGTAATTGACCTGAAGAGGAAATTAGGAAAAGACTTTGGAAGTGTATAGGACATACATTAAGGAAATCACCAATGTGCATTAAAAAACAATCCATAACTTGGAATCCGGAAGGGAAGCGGAAAAGATGAAAGTCAAAGAACACATCACGCCGGGAAATAGAAGCAGATATGAAAAGGATGAATGTTAACTGGAAAGAACTGGAAATGATTGCCCAGGACAGAGTTGGATGAAAAATGCTGGTGAGCATCATATGCTCCTCGACGAGGTGTAACAGGTATAAGTAAGTAAGTGATTGACCAATGATTACATAAATCATTTACAAACTTATCATTTACTAGTCTAATTGAGTTACCCCCCTCCCTTATGTTATAATTAACTGATGTATATTTAAAATGTAAGTCTATAGTTTTATTCATGGTAACATAAGACTTATGTAATCATATCTCTTATTTATATACTATATACTCTGTACTATTTACATTTTATAGTCACAACAAGGAACATATCGAACTCCAGTCATTTCGAATAATACTGACCCATTGTTAATCAACAATGTAAGTCTACAAAACAATCCCATCGCAACAACAACAACAACAACAACAACTCCCATAACAACAACCACAACGACAACAACAATTCCCATAGCAACAACAGTTACCAATGATATACCTATCAATTCTTTAATCAATAATCATTTATCATCAAATATTCATTTTAATACAAGTCGTTCAAATAGTGGTCAAACATTAATTGATCATAATAATAATCTAAAACGAAATCATAATCCATTTAAATCATATAGAGTAAGAAAGTTACCAAGAAAAAGAAGATCTAATTCATTAATAGATCAACATTTAATTCAATCATTTCCATCATGTAATTCATGTTTTCATAGAACATCATCAGCATCAGCATCATCATCATCATCGTTGAATAATTGGTTAAAATATCAAAAACATTGGTTATTTACATTTTATGATTTTGATGATGAACATAATATAAAAGAGGTTAGTAATTGGTTATAATGTATATGACCATAATGAGGAACTAGGGAGTAGTGGATGACTGTTTTGCCTTAATATGGGAATTTCCCTGCAGTAGTGTACGAGATTTGATCTCAGGACTTTTGGTCTCGCGCGTGAAACGGTTAACCTGTAGATCACTGATCTAGCATCCAACGGTTTTGACGTTTAACCTCAATTAATCTATGAGATAGTGCCACTATTCACTATTGTCTTCAGTGATTTACTATCTTACAATAGAGTTGGCTGAACTCTACTGGTCACGGGTTTTCACTAGAAATCCAGGAAATGTCTCTTGAAAGCCAGTAGTCCAGCTATAATTCACTCGTCAACTTAAGTATTAAAAAAATACTAAGATATCCACAAAACCCCATTCTGATAGAAATTACATTTATTGTGGACACGTTGACTCACGGTGACGCAATTTTGTGAATCGATTGAAGTTAAACATTAACACCGTTGAACGTCGGCTTAGTGGTCTGAAGGTTAGACGTTCGTGCACAAGACCGAAGATCATGGGTTCATGTCTTACGTGCGGAGTCATAGGTGAGCACTGTTGAGAAGTCCCATAATAGAACGAAACAGTCATCCTATGTTTCCAGGTTTTCTATGGTACTCTAGTTTTAATCGACTAATATATTCAATTATTAAATGATTTCATTAAAATTGGACAACAAATAAATATAAAATCCTAAATCCTAATTTCATCTTAATTGAGGTTCGTTAGTTAACTAAATTTATATGAATTTGATATTCTCTGTTGCCAACGTTGTCAGTTGAACTGTCTTATAAGTTCCTTATACATTAGAATCTATTGAAGTTTGAGGCGTAAAGAATATAATTCAGTCAATCTTGCTTATGTACTTACGCTTGTTACCCTTCATGGAGTAGTATAGGCCAACCAACAACACTCTCCATTTAACTCTGTCTTCTGCAATCCTTTCCAGTTCCTTCCAGTTGTTATTCATCTTCTACATGTCTGCTTTCAATTCTCAACGCAGTGTGTTCTTCGACCGTCCTACTTTCCATTTCCATTCAGGATTCCAAGTTAGTGCTTGCTTCATGATGCACTTTAGTGGTTTCAGTAATATATATCCTATCCCCACATCCAAAGTCTTTTCTTAATTTCCTCTTTAACTAGGGGTTGGTTTGTCCTCTCCCACAGTAAGTTATTGTTGATGGTATCAGACCAACAGACATTGAGTACATTGTGTAGACTATTGTTCATAAATACTTGTACTTCGTTGATGATTGTTGTGGTAGTTCTCGAAGTTTCAGCTATGTGCAGTGGAACCAACTGTCTTGAGGTTTGTATGGAAGATTGTTACTTTGATATTGGTCGACAAATGTTTTGAGTTCCATATGTTCTTTAACTGTAGGAATACTGTTGTTGTTTTAGGAATCCTTGCCTTTATGTCAACATCAGATCCTCCAATATATTACATTAAGTGATGCCGCATTTTTCGAATTCGCATTAAATGTTGGGTATTAGGCAGTCTGTAGAAAATCACGCTTCATCTAGATTTCGTGCTTGTAGTTAATTAATCAACAATTCATAATCTAATATTGACTCGATAAATTCGAGTACAGAAGATTTCTAGGTTTTCATCTGTCAATCACTTAAAGTGATTACAACTTCTAAATTTACAAGTGGACAATTGTTGTAAGTGAATTGTCAAGCTAGAGTGATATTTCAATAGGATTGTCAAAAGGATTCTTAATATGACAGTTACACAAAATTAGTATTTATAGTTAAACTACTTATTTAAATATTCAGTAACCAATTTGATTACACGAAATATATTAAAGTTACATATTTCGTATTTCAATCAATTTAGGATGACACTGCATTAGTCCATTCCGTTTTTGCTGTTGTAGCAGCTCGACTACGACAAAAACATAATGGTTCAAAAAGTATTATTAAAAAAGTATCAGAATATGAAAAATTAAGTCAAGATCATGATGATAATCATAGAAATGACCATGAAAATAAGTCAAAATCACATCAAACCAATAAACAAATACATCAACATATTCGACTGGCTAGTTATATCTCAAATAATAAACCTAAGCAATCTAAAAGTAAAGAGATCAACAATAAAGATGAACAACAGTTATGGCGGTTATGTATTAAATGGAATTCAAAAGATTTATCCAATAAGTCAACACTTAATCCTACTAATACATATGACAACAACAATAACATTTCTAATGAAAATACCCACCAATTTAAACTGAAAAAAACACATATCTTTGCTACATTAGGTACAGAAATTGATAAGACTTCAGTATACAGTGATCATTCAACTGTTTCTTTAATATCCCTTGATATTCATGGAATAGACCGACATGAAAAGAAACGTCAAAGATTTCAGCATCATAAGTACTCTCATAAACCTTTATTACAACAATACATCAATGATACTAGACGAAAATCAATCATTTGTTCTGTTTGTCAACGTTTAATCAATGTCAATTCTAATGAACAAGCCCTATCATGCTTGTATAATAATAAAAAGATAAATGATAAAGAGCAAATGAATATGAATAATGACCTAACCGAAACTGGTCAAATATCCTTTGATAAAAGATTTAAAGGTAAATGTAAACTTAATCAGAACTCTAATAGTCGATCTCATGAAATTCATGATTATCCACCATATTGTTTAACTAAATGTAACAATATTCAATATAAACGTAATAGTTGTCATATTTTATCAAATTATAATATAAATTTGGAAAAATTTAAACATGATTATATTACTACTAATTATACTACTTATAATAATCCTATACAATACAGGGATTATTATTATTATCATCCAAGAATAATTCCAGAGAATATTGATCATGATCAGTTTAATTATGGATCAAAATTATGGATCAATTCATTGGATCAAACCATTTCAACTAATATGTTACATTGTCAACAATGTTTATATAATAAATTGAATAAAAGGTATAATAAACAGGGATATTTGAATGGACCCTGTAATAATAATAATAATAATAATAATAATAATAATAATAATGAACTATCAAAGGTACATATAAAATCCAACTGTATCCATGGCAACTCGAATTCAGTGATGTATTGTTGTAATCAATGTAATCAATGGTTTATACCATTATGGAATCAATTATATTATTCAAGAAATAAACGTCATATTTCAAAAGATGATAATTTAATGTAAGTTTAATTTAGGGATATTTTTTTTCTGGTTAGCGTTTTTTTTGTTTTAGTGAGTTATTACAATTGATTGATCACTGGGTAGTGATAAATGTCATGTGTGTCAAGTCCGTCTTTAGCGCTGATCGAATGCTATCGATCAAGTTACAATGTGGCCATTAGTCTAGGTGGCTCGACACTGCATACACTATATATATATTCTATTGGTCGATAGCATTCGATCAGCACTAAGGACTTGACACGCATGAGATTAATCACCACCCAGTGATCAATCAATTGTGATTACATCTCAGTCCTACAAAAGGTCGGTCGCGGCCAGAATAGCTCAGTGGTAACGTCTCTGACTGTGAAACTGGGTGACACGGGATCGAATCCATCAGGGGGCACCAGTTCACTCAAAGATTACAGGTACACCTTGATGACGAGTGCCAAGTAGCACGAAACCTGGGTGCAGGGATTCCTGTTGACCACCTCCAACCAACATGTTACCTTAAAGAGAGCATCTTCGTATCTCGAAGTGGTAGTCAGACCTTAAGACCATTTAGTCAGTATTTGACGGTTCCGATTTCTAACTGAAATCAATTCTCCGTATTGAGAAATCACCATCCACTATTATAAGCAGGTATATACCTCACATTCGTCATAGTTAAGCTTGTCAGATAGGGATTGGTGGAGATTTTAATAATTTTATAGCGTTGGGATCATTAGTCAATTGAAGCTAGACCACCATCAAAAACCGGAGAGCACTAGACGGCCGTTTCGTCCTATTATGGGACTCCTCAGCAGTGCTCAACCACGATCCCGCACTCGCGAGATTCGAACTCAGTACTGGTCACGAGTTCTCAAAACAACTAGGAATTACTTCCCTAAATTAGTCATTATTAAGTATATAACTGTTAATAATATAAATTAATTAACTAATCTCCATGAAGCAACCAACTACTATTCTTGATTTCTCCACTCCTTTTCAGACACAGATCCTACAACCACTATTGTTATCATCGATCATCAAGTCAACCACTAACTAAACATGAAAGAATAATTCAAAATCATTTATCTAAAAATAATCGATATAACTATAATAATAGTAATACTATTCAATGTTCAACTGTACAACATCGGATACCAATAAATCAACAATCATATAAAAGCCAATCAAAACATCGAAATAGACGAACTAAACGACGTGCTAAATCTCACCTACCTATTCAACGTTTCTTTTCAAATGATACAAACAATCAAGTAAATGATCCATCAATTCAGTTTAATCATTATAAATTAGAATCATATAGATCTAAAAAGGAGATAGACTGTCAAACTATTGTGAATAATAGTGATAAATTCATTGTTGATCCTTTTCTTGATCCATATGAACATTTAATCAATTTAAAACTGGATCATAAATTGAAACATCATAATCGAAAATATTTAGGACAATTAAATGTTCAAGAATGGTTGGATAAAACAATAACAAGCAATTATTAATCCATTAAAATAAATAGAATTCCTATATTTGACTTAAAAAAATACAATTTTTCCATTGTAATATAACGATGGATACTTGTCTTTTTTTATAATTCTTTTTTGTCGAATAAACTTTAGCTATAATTTACATACTACTAAATATACTTTGTGAGTAGTATAAGTTTTTAAATGGAAACTTGTTTAAAACATTGGGGCGAGACTATTGTTTGTGGACGACCTTTGAACGAATCGTGAGTGACCCTGAGTAATATTAGCCAATCAGTGAACAGTCAGCATAAACCAAAAATATATTATACAAAACCAAAGAATTAAAGTGGATATACTTTTTCATATGATCCAAAAAACGTGTCACGGTTAGAAAGAGGTTCAATGATTTTAAAATCGTAATGCATAAGGTAGTGAAACTCATCCGTATGACTCCATAATAGTCAGTCTCTAGAGCCATGATAAGTTCGCAAAACCCTCTCGGTTTCCACCACACAGCTCCAATATTGTTTGTGTACTCCGGTTGTGTAAATTTATCATTTTTATTATGGATGCGTACCTACAATACACATACCATTGAACAGCCGAAGTCTCAGTGACATCTGCAATTATTCTAGCCAATTTTACTCGTGATTTTATTATAAAGTTCGAAGCAATTATTATAATTTGCCTTAGTCTCAATCTGGATCGAGCGATAAAGGTTCCTATTCTAGCAAACGTATTCCTTCAAAATGTGTTAATTCGAATGACATCACGGTAGTCTGTACAAGGTCTACAAGTCATTTGATAACTACAACTTCAAATAATGGAACTTCTTAGTAGTCCCATTTATTATAGCCGCTTAATTGTCAAGTTTTCTCTAAAATCCTCTGTAAGTCGATTATACATGAGCATCGGCTACCGAAATTGGTGCCGTGACCTTGAAATCCCTCAGATTCTTCTGATTGACTCGTCCATAAATTATAGTCTCGCCGATGTGAGTATGAAAAGAAGTACTCGGTTTTTGGTTCAAGCCCACTATAATAGTAAGTATTTGATGTTATGTTGTAGTGAAAGAGAACACAAGTGGGAACAATCGAATATATTTGATTACAAAATTACAGAATCTCTCAGTAAAATTTGAGAACCATATAGTAAATACTTCATATGCAAACTGTCAAATCAATCGTTTCAGCCTTCATTGTTCTTTCGTTTCCACACCAATTATTCTTCGTTCTCGTTCCATTTTATTCGATTATCGCAACCTTCTGCCTCCAGGTACTTCACTTTCGATTGAGGATACATACTACTTAATTCTGTTGACATCAGTAGCATACACCACAATGTAAACTAGTCTCATTTAATGCAATTCAAATAACAAACAGAGCCCTTGAATAGTGCAAACTATGAATGTATCTTTCACATAGTAACATGAATTTCTAATAATGTTCAGTCAGACCATCTTTTTCTATGTAGATAAGAAAACTAAAAATTTATCACTGAAAAGTGGCATAACTCACATATACATAGTATTTTAATTTAGATGGGTTTTTCAAGGTTTCTATTATCTTAAGGGAAATCATTCTCATTATGAAACTGTATTAATTCGACGATAGGGTAGAGGTTGTGTCGTCTAGTGTCTGATTACGATAGGCTTAATATTCACGAGGACAACCGATTACTTGAGTAACAAGGAAACTTTTTATAGTCCAGCTGAATCGAAAAATAACTGTAGATTCATCCATATTTATCCCTCGGAAATCTAAATTATATTCTTGCATCAATAAAGTGTCTTATTCCTTAGAAAACGAAGACATATCTTAGTCGACACGCATGATATTGATCACCACCCAGTGATCAATCAATTGTGATTACATCTCAGTCCTACAGAAGGTCGGTCGTGGACCGAATAGATCAGTGGTAACGTTTCTGACTGTGTAACTGGGTGGCACGGGATCGAATCCGTCAGGGAGCATTAGTTCCCTCAAGATTATCAGTACAACTTGCTGACGAATGCCGAGTAGCACGAACCTCGGGTGTAGGGTTTCCTGTTAACCACCTCCAATCACCAGACTTATCATTCGTCTGATATCCGATTGACTCATCATCAATAAGTATACATTTGGGTACTTTACCCGGTTACAAAAACTTTCATAAACAGTGTCATAGTTCTTGCAATACTTTCTTAAACTTACTGAAAGTTCAATATGACTTAATGAGGTAACCATTTGAGAATCATGTAAATGAAATATTTGACATATTTAAAAGATTGAAAGATACACAATTAACATTGACTATTCAATGAAACAGTAATAACATTGGTTAGCTGTTAGTTTACTTTATAAAAATGACTGAATTCGCACTAAATTATGGTTTAAAGAGAATTGATAACAGAAGGGATTACGTATTTTGATCAGGTTTACTTTCAACCTTCCGTCATTTCTAATGTATAATGGTACAATACATGAGATAGTTAAGCACTAAATAAACGTTAACTCTACAATGTTTTACAATGAAGTAGATAAGTGACATACTATTTTGAATTGTAGCGCAACGAAAACAGACATCGCAATTCTGATTAGTTTGACAGTAATGTAATTTCATGCTTTAAAAAGCATTTAGATAAACAGTACTATACACATTCAACTAACAGTGAAACAGAAAAATGTAGCGACTGTAGGACTATCTGTATACGACCACTTTATGAATTCAGTGATGACCCCCGAACGCCCTGGTACGGCCTAGAGTAGGAAGAGCCAAATCTTCATTTCGGAATGCTCTCACATGGCCACGCTCATACAGTCACTGATAGGGAAGTCCTACTCACTACATTCTCGCTGCATTACTGTTGCTTACGAAATTGAGATGACAAAATGCGAACGTCTGGTGCTGTAACCGGTTTGGTGGACACAGAGGGTCCACCTAGGGGAGTCGGAAAACACTGATTCCAAACCAATGGTGCATATGGGTTCCAGTATCCTGAAGGAAAAATTGGCGTATGAACCAACTGTTGGCCACCGCCTACCATGAGACTGCATCTCATAACGTTGCTTGACTGCCTTGTGAACCAGACTGTTATGCCCCGGCTAGGATAATGAATGGTAACTTTGGGACCTATTTAAGAACAAATGCTATGCATATATTTTATATCGTATAATTGCTAAATAACTAAAGTATTCATATTCATGTTCCCCTTATCATGAGCTTTATTTTGACTTATAAACTATTGTCATACGATTTACCGTTCTTGAATTATGCCCTTTCTATCACTTACTATCTTCCCTATTCACAGCCACATTTAGCTAAATCTTGTACAAATGTTATTTTCTATTTTATGGTACGATGTGGTCATTTTGATTGGTATATAAACTCAATATGTTTGAGGCTAGGATTGGCGTTTTGGACTTAACTGACTGGGCTAGGCAGAAAGCAGGACCGAAAAATGCTCTAGACTGCTCGTATGGTTTTCGTGTATGATTGGTTTAATCGATAATTCGCTGCTCTCTGATTGGCGGTCTTATCACGTTCTACAGAACAGGGCAATCCACTCGGCCACAAGATATAACTATAAATAAGGTGGATGTGATGCAGACTTAAAGGCAAGGATTGGTAAAGAAAACAATAGCATTCACATAGTTGGAGAACATATGGAATTCAAAGCATTTGTCAACCAATTTCAAAGTCACAATTTTCGATAAAAACGTCAAGACAGTTAGTTCTACTGTTTGGAGCTGAAACTCCGAGAACTACAACAACCATTATCAAAGAAGGACAAGTATTGATAAGCAATAGTCTACACAAGATACTCAATGTCCTTTGGCCTGATACCATAAAAAACAACCTACTGTTATAGAGAACATACCGACTTCTAGTTAAAGAGGAGATTAGGAAAAGATTTTGGAGGTTGAGATAGGATATACATACAGCAAGCGGTAACTTGGAATCCTGAATGGAAATGGAAAGAAGGAGGGCCGAAGAACACATTGCGTTGGTAATTGGATGCAGACATGAAAAAGATGAATGTCAACTGAAAATAATTGGAAAGGATTGCAGAAGACCGTGTTAGATGGAGAAAGGTGGTGATTGTCCTATACTCCTCCATGATGACACAGACTCAAATCTTCTGAAAAATATCAATCTCATCAAAATTTCATATACTTGTTACTAATTCCATATCAATCAACCAGAAATCTAATTCAATCACTATCCATCATATCAAGTAAATAGTTTACAACTAAATCAATTCCTTTATTAAACAAAATTTAAATAATACTAAACACAAGAAAGACAATATATCACAAGTACTACTAATTAAACAATGAATAGGATGTCAACGAAATCCTTGTTTCTTCAGTATTGAATATCATGTTATGATGAAGGCAATAACTGAATAAGCATAAAGGTATATCATCATATCCCTTGTCTATAATAACCTGTTGCTATCAGCAACGGCATTACAGTTCGAATCCAAATACCTATTATATTGATTGATCTTGTTTAACATAGTAACAAAATATGATTATCAAATTTGTAATATAACTTTATTTATGTGAAAGCATATGTCTAGTTAAATGATGTTTTTCTTTAAATTGTTCACCACAAAGTGAACAAATTGGTTTATTTATTGTTGAATAACAAGATAGGACTGTTGCTGTTGTTGTTGTTGTCGTCGTCGTCGACATCGTTGATGTCTGTGATGATGTCGTTGATGTTCCAATAGTTGTCAATGATGATAAAGATGACAAAGATGATTGTCCATTCGAATGTAATGAATCCATTTCATTGTTTAGTTGTTTTTTCTTATTGATTAAATCAATTGTTTTATGATGTGATAATGAACGATCTTTATAATTAGAATGTTTATTAGCTTGATTATGACATGTACGCATATGATGTACTAAATCACTAGTTAAACGAAATGTAATAAAACAACGTGCACACCAATTTTGTGCTAATGATAAACTACATAATAATGGGGATGATGCTGTTGTTGTCGTCGTCGTCATCATCGTCGTCGTCGTGGTCGTCGGCGACGATGAAATTGACTTCTTTATTGATAATGTTGAATTATTTTCAATATTTGTATCTATTTTCTTGAACATAATTGTTTGTAATAATTGTTCAACTAATGGATTACGTGATTTTAATGGTAATAATGTAGTTTTCAATTTCGACTTTTTATTATATAAACTACTTATATTATCTATATAAGTAGTTTGTTTTAATGTTTTCAAATTTTTCGACATTTTATTATCAGATTGAATTTTATGCAAATATTTTCTATGCAATGAATTGAAATTTTTTATAGATGTTAATTCATTTGTGTTTCCTATTTTCTGGAATGGATCCCCTATTTTATTGGATCTAGTTTCAATAGTCAGTTGAGAATCATCATCACCGTCGTCATCATCAACATCGTCAACATCATCATGATCTTCAGTTGTGTTATCCTTGATATGATCTAATTTGTTTGGATTTAATTGTGTATTCATATTATTACGTAATAATAAATCGATATTTTGTTGATATGTACATTTATTAGTTAATTCAATAGGGAATTCATTAGATTCCATCAATTGATGATGATTAATCCATTGAGTATTTTGAATGATAGTTTGTTTATGACATTTGAATAAACAATGTGATATATATGGATAGATATAAGTGAATTCTTCATGACATTTGGAGCATTGAAATTTGTCTAAATGTTGATAAAAATAGTAATAATAGTATTATTACTATTAGTAGCAGTATAGAATTGTGGAGATTGTTTAGTTTTGGTTGAGATCATGAATGGATCAATGTTAGACAACCATTGAAAATCTGGAAGTACTGGACGGACGTTTTGTTCTAGTATGCAACACCTCTGAAGTGCACATTCAAGATCCCACGTGAATGACCTTCAGTTTCGTGAGCGAATGCTTAATCTCTAGACTACTGAAGACAATGGGAGATGGTCGTGAAGTATGGTGGATTGGTTGAAATCAGACATTAACACCATTGCATACCACCTCAGTGGTTAAGACGTTAAATGTTCACACAAGAGATCAAGGGTCCTGGGTTTAAATTCCTTGTGTGAGTACGTAGATGCGCACTTATGAGTAGTCCCATACTAGAACCAAAACGTCCTTCCAGTACTTCCAGATTGTCGACGGTAGTCTAGCTTTAATCCAATCATGAATCCAATCATTAAATTAATACAATCTCCACAAAGTCATTATTCCGACAATTATCTTGGTTTTAAAAAGTCGTTTTGCGAAACTGAGAGTTGTTGTCACTGTTTCAATTGTATTTTTCTATTAATTTTTCAAAGTCAATCAAACGACAAACAGTGAATTTGATCCAGAAGAGGAATAATTTTCAGTTCAATTATGAGATATGAATCCAAAACTAAGATAATGACTGTCTACTATTTACCAAAAGCTTGTTATCTCAAAATCTGGTTAAAAATGATAATTGTATGACAATACCCATCCATTGATATGTGCTATATGATAGATCGACTACTTTCGACCACCGAAAGTTTTAGGGTCGATACAACTGATACAGTCGAAAGTTAACATTATCGAGTGATCGGACAATTTATTTAAATGGATATCAAAGGAGTCAAAATTTGTGTCTGTAATTTCGTTGTTCATTAATTTTTAGTGATTTATGTTACAGTGTTTAAATATATTAGAGCAATAAATAAGTAATTTTAATAGTTGAGATCATGAGTCAATTGAAGTTAGACCACCATGGAAAACCTGAAAGCACTAAATGGCTGTTTCTTCTTGTTCAGTCGGATAGTTTGTGTAAACCAGTTCAATTAGAAAATTGTCTTATCAATAAGCCTACGTCAACTGGATTTAAACATATTGGTCTAAACTTATATTGCATTGAAAGTAATCGGTTTAACTCAGAGTAGGGCTATGGGTGTGTACCATTAAGAAGTCTCAGACTAAAAATACGCTTAAACAGTTGAATCTGGCTTTCTGAGACTCGCATTCCAAGGGGCTAAGAATATTTCAAGTTATATGAAAATTCATACATATCATCATCGGTCATATCTATAATAAACTTTTCAGTTTTCCTTGTCCTCTGAACCATTGAAATCTGTCTTAGAGAAACATTTATGGTAATGTAATTCTGTCAAGCGTTTAAGTAATGTGTTGTCAATTCAACAGATTACATAATGACTATTAATAAGACTAAGAGTTCTGTTGAAAATTCAAATAGAAATAGCTATATATGATTAATAAGGTGAAGAGTGACAAATGTTGAATAAGATAACGAAAGTGGTATGCCTAATTTTAGACAAATTCATGTCATTATAAGCAAGGATGGATAGTGGCTAGCAGTGGAATCCAGAATATGCATTTCGTCCCATTTGAGACTCATCAATTGGATGTACCTGCATCTCAGAGTTAAAGTTGACGAGTCCCGAATAGGTTGAGACGCGCGTCTTGGATTCCAATGTTAGCCACTATTCATCTTTGTTTATAATGCTTGTGATTTAAAGCAATATCTAGGTAATATACATATATGTCAATAAGAAACTGATCAGTTGTAGTTCTTAACATCAATAGGAAGATTCAAACAAACAGTATCAAGTGAATTTAAACGTCACTTCATTGCACAAGCAAGTGGCTATCAGGAATCGGTAGCCAAATGTGTAACGCAATGGTGTTTGATGCGAATGGTACTGAGTTCGAGTCCTATAAAAGACATCAACTCTGAGATTCAGGTATATCCAACTGATGAATCCGAAGCAGGACTTGACGCTCGTCCTGCATTCCCCTACTAGCCACTAGCCATATTTACTTATGAGTAAATTTAAGTTATATTATATTCTAATAAAAGTTTTTCATAGTTGAAATCATGAGTCAATTGAAGCTAGACCACCATGAAAAACCTGGAAACACTGATAGGTCCTGGCTTCGAATCTCGCGAGTTTGGGATCGTGAATGCGCGCTGCTAAAAAGTCCTAAATAGGCCGAAACGGCCATCCATTGCTTCCAGGTTTTCCATGATGGTCTAGCTTTAATTGACTCATGATTTCAACTATGAAAATACTGAAATCTCCACAAAATCCTTTCTGATCTATAATAAAAGTTTATCAGCCTTTTCTCATAATACAACTTACAATAATCTGTATTTAAAGATTTATGTACATTTACAAACTCTTCATAATCTTTTTGTAATACATCAGTTGATTTTACTGTTTGTCCTATCCATGCTTCGTAAATATGTAAATTATTCAAGTATTCTATCACTAAAGGTTGCAAATCTTGTCTTCGAAACCAAACTAATAATTCTTCACCAACTTCAATTCTACGTATTGTTCTATAGAATGATTGACCTAATTGATGACAATAGACTAATTCCATATTTTGTTCACCTGGACATCTAGCACAACGTAGATTGCATACCCATTCAATAAGACGTATTGGATCAGATAATCGTTTGGGATCAGCCTATTGTGTGGAGAGAGAAAGAGAGTGAGAGAGGAAATATATACCCCAGTAAAAATTTAAAAAAATTAGACCTTCACTTTGTATTCATTCATCTTTCACAGTGTGCTTCTATAGACCGGATTGACTGTTAAATTTTTTCAGCATGTTGATGAGAGTAAAGTAAACGTATGTCATATTTTCCTCATGGACTCAGATCGAAAGAGAATTTGGATCTAAACGGACATTCATTGGAAATGCTAATTGTAAAAACAAGCGATATGTTTGAAGAATACAGTGATCGAGAACTCAGGTGAGAGTAAAACTATTACCATTATCTCTCAGCATACGTAGCATATACCAGACTACCACAAATCTATTCCACTGATAAGTTTAAAATGCAGAGTTCGAAAAATAAAGCAGTTGCATTGTAACTTGTCATTATCAGAATCACTTGCTTTTGATGCGATATGAATTGTATTATATTCTTAAGGTAAATTTTACAATGCAATGTACTAATGATTAGTCCTTTTCATAGTTGAAAGCGTGAATCAATTGAAGCTAGACCACCATGGAAAACCTGGAAGCACTAGACGACCCCTCAGCAGTGCGCATCCATGACTCTGCAATCGCAAGATTCGAACCCGAGACCTATCAGTCTCGAGCCAGAGCGCTTAACCGATAGACTACTGAGCCGGTATCCAATGGTGTTAATGTCTAACTTCAACTGATCCACGAAGTTGAGCAACCATTCACTAATTGTCTTCAGTGAGTTTCTGTCTCACAACAGACGTGGTCTGAACTCTACTGGTTACTGGTTCTCAGTAGAAATCCTGGATGTTCTCCTCGAAGTCAGTCACTGGGTTCGAACCTCGCGAGTGAGGGATCGTGGATGCTCACTGCTGAAGAGTCCCATAATAAGACGAAACGGCGTCCAGTGCTTCCAGGTTTTCCATGGTGTTCAAGCTTCACTTGACTCACGCTTTCAACTACGAAAATGCTAAATCTCCACAAAACCCCTTCTGATGATTAGTCCTTTACTAAGGTAAATCAGTTTACATAAATTCAGTTCCTTGTATTTTCAGTGATAGCTCTCTTAAATAGATTCATCCGGGATAGACTAAATGTTCATAATCCGTTTCATATATGAAACAAAAGTGAAACAAATGATGATCTCGGCACATTTACCAATCTGATGAACACATACACATCCATTAATTGACAACTGTATCAACTGAGTACAATTCGAATTAATTAGTCTGTTGAAAATGAAGTGATATATCTCACCAACGCTTTACTCCAAGATTGTGTACAGAAACTCTAGGGTATTTATAGCATTTTATATGGCCTTGGGTTTACGTAAAGCTTACGAACGCTACTAAACGTAGTAGCAATAGAAGTTATCATCCAATCAAAAACGCGATATGTGACTTTTCACTTTCTAGATGTTTCTGGAAACACTTCTATTGAATGCTAACTGGATAAAATGTTTCTCGGCGTTTCCAAAGCCTACTTTTGGCTTTTTTTAGAGAAATTTTCTGGATCTTCTCATTACTAATATCTATAATTTAAATACCGTCAATCTGTTCAATCTACTGTAATTAATTTCTTGCATAGTAACCAAATTCACTTCGTCTTTGCAGTAAGAATGTTTAAATTTCACATGTTTACAAATGACTACTCTACGTTGATGACCAATAACTCTACTTATAACACATACCTACATGTACATTATGAATTTCGCTATTCTACTTGGTTACATAATACACATATCAACAACTTCATAGATTTTATTAATATTCAGATTAACATTGCTTAGTTGTGAAGTACTTTACTATAATATGGATCTTTTCAATATATCAAATAATCACCTCTCAACTCTATTATTTACAAAAGGTCATTATAATTCATGTAAAAGTTGAATTCAAGAGTCAGTTCAAGCTAGACCACCATGGAAAACCTGGAAGCACTGGAAGGCCGTTTCGTTCTAATATAGGACCGTTGGATGCCGGTTCAGTGGTCTAGAGGTCGAACGTTCATGGGCGAGACAGAAAGTCTTGGGTTTGAGTTCCACATTCGAGATCGTGAGTGCGCACTGCTGAGGAGTCCCATACTAGGACAAAATGGTCTTCCAATGGTTTCAACTTTTCCATGGTAGTCTAACTTCAATTGACTAATGAATTCAACTATCAAATTACTATGATATCCATAAAATCCCTCTCTGAATATAAGTAAAAATTTAATGAGATATGTTCAGTGAAATAAACTAACTTACATAGATTGTTGGTAATTCAGATAATCGATCTGTTGTTGTTTGTGCAATTAAATATGCTGGTTCAGCTATCATTAAACTTGTTGGTAATGGTCCAAAACTTAAAGATTCTTCCAATACATTAGTTGTTATCATACCCATGATTAATATGGATTAAAATTGACCACAATTTATATACACTGTATTAAGTAGTCTATATGCTGGCGAGCGGCCTATGCTCTTCGACAAAGGGTAACAGACGTAAGTAAGTAATTAAATAGTCTATAGTTAAATATAAAAATATTGAAAATAAAAAAAAGTCTAAACACTGGTTGACTGTCAAAAAGTAACTAAGATCATGTTTGTATTATCCATAGTTCTAATCAAACTCTATACATTAAGATATTAGTTGGAAACTAGATGAAATGACTAGACAGTTGGAAATAATCAACTGAAAGCTATGAACCATAGTTTCGTGTCAGTTAATACTTGATAACAAGGTATATCTATAATATTTCGAGAACTTAAACTCCCTTTAGAGTGTATACTCAAGTCATCTAGTCAGAGATATTATTGTTCATTTAATTTGACGAGATAACGTTTCTGAATATGACAGTTAACTAGCTTAGTAATTGAGAGATGATATATTCGAACGAATGAATTTAAAATTTATAACTCTAGTATCCCATTTATATGGAACTCATAAACTATATGTACATGTGGACCCCAATGTTTATGTTCACAATGAGACTGAAACTCAATACCTTTTATCATAAAAGTCAGAGAATTATCCACTGACTTACTGATTCCAGATAATCACTAACTTTTTTAACGAGTGTAAAAGTATTTGTTAGAGTTGATAATTTCCCACTGTTGAACTTCAGGACTACATTTGATTATTGTCTGTTTTTTGTTTGTTCACCCTTGAAGGATTATCTCGAATCAACTTTTAAACGCAATCTTCTAATATATTTGACTAAAGGGTATTCAGAACCAATTTGCTCAGAATGCATATACAAGAACAGAAACTAATCAACTTTAGTCTTGAAAATCAACAACTAGAAATGATAGACACTCACTGTAGGTCATTGTTAGTTTATAGGACCTTTAAAACTTTCTGATATTTCACTATATGCTTAGAAATTCTCACTTGTGAGTACTCTTGATTACCTTCTCGATCTGGTGTGGAACAATTAAGGTAATTAACCAATCAATCGATTCAAATACATCAAATCTAGATCAACAACTGTAATTTACAATGAAATACTTGTTCGAAACTTTTCGATCTCCGACGTTACATTGATTACTCATAAAAAATCACTTTGAAAACTGTTTCTCTTCAAATTTAAATAATCTCATTCCACATAACAAATGAAAAAAAAATGGATTGGACGAAGTAAGACAATAAAATCTTTAGAAGTTCGCTCAGAGGTCTAAAAGTTTCAAAGTTCATGAGAGACCAAAGGTCAAAAGTTCGATTCCTGTGTGTGAGATCATTTATACACACTGTCAAAGAGTTTTACACTAGGATCAGATAGTCATCCAGTGCTTTTAAGTTTTCAATAGTAATCTATCATTGCTCAATTCATGATCTCGATCAAAATTTTAAAAAAAAATTCATATACATCTACTACTCATGATTAATTTACTCTTTTCATTCTATTCTTTGTCATAGAATTGTCTTAATCATAAGAAATTAAAAACGGGAGTTGTTAATTCATTGTCCCCTTCACATATGTCATCTAGTTTCTTTAATTTTTCTTCTTCTTTTTCTTTTTTAATCCTTATCATTTAACCTGATTGAATTTGATGAGCTAACAACTTTCTATTATAAGCAAAAATGGAACGTGGCTAGTAGTGGAATCAAGGACATGCATTTCGTCCTATTTGGGAATCGTCAGCTGGATATACTTACATCTCAGAGTTGATGTTCACTCTGGGACTTGAACCCAGTACCTTTCACTTGCAGTCCTTAACATCAATGAGAAGATTAAAACAAACAATACTAAATGAATTTAACTTTCTATTATGTTGCATATTACAATATAGTTTGTATATAATGTAGAAATAAGTTTATCTAAAAGATATTAATCAACATATGCTCATTAGTGACTAGATTCAAGATATATTTCCTGGATCTCTAGTGAGAAGCAGTGACCAATGGAGTTCAACCGAGTCTGTTGTGAGATAATAACTCACTGAAGAAAATGATGAACGGCTGCTCGATTTCATGGATAAATTAAAGTTAGGTACTAACACCACTGGATGTCAACTCGATAGTCTACAGGTTAAGCATTTGTGCGCGAGACCAATAGGTCTTGGGTTCAAATCTTGCGAGGTGGGATTGTGGATGCCCACTGCTGAGGAGTCCTATATTAGGACAAAACGGTCATCTAGGTTTTCCATGACGGTCTAGCTTCAACTGACTCATGGTCTTAACTACTAAAATATATTACATAACTGATCAAATGTTAATGAGTAATAATCATCATTCTCTTTGATCTAAATCACATTTTACTCATATTTCCGACGGGTTTTCTTTTCTTCTGTTTTAATTCATTGAAATTTGTAACAGATGGGATAAAACAAAACCAAAAAAATCGGAGAAAAAACAAAAAAAAAACAAAAAAATTATTGGATAAATTGATGAAAAAAAAAGAAGAAAATTGGTTCTCTATTATGATCGTCTATTATTATTTTAAAAAAATATTTGGTCAAAAAAAAGAAAAAAAATTTTTTTTCTTTTATTTTTACAAAAAGGGGTGAAAAATTGAAAAAAAGAAAAAAATATTTTTGCTTAAGGGTAAAAATGAAATTTCAAACATGAATACCTATTTTTACTATTGATTTTTATGATGAGAGAATATAAGAGTGGTGGTAAATAATTTTGATGAATAAATTAAGGGGGAATATATATTATTTACTATTTACTTACGCCTGTTACCTCCAATGGAGCATAGGCCACCGACCAGCATTCTCCAACACATTATAGAATTGGCCTTCCTTTCTAGTTCTATTCAATTGTTGTTCATTCTTCTCATGTCTGTCTCTATTTCTCGGTGTAATGTATCCTTTGATCTTCCTTTTCTCAAGATTTCAAGTGATGGATTGTCTTGTGACGCAGTTGGGTGATTTCCTCAATATGTGTCCTATTCACTTCCAGCACTTCTTCATGATTTCTTCCTCCATTCGAATCTGGTTTGTTCTGTTCCATAGTAGGTTGTGGCTGATAGTATCTGGCCAAGGGATCCGGAATATTTTACGTGGACAACTGTTAATAATCACATGTATCTTCTGGATGGTTGCCTTCGTTGTTCTCCAGGTTTCCGCCCCATACAATAAAATTGTCTTGACATTTGTATTCAAAATTTTGATCTTGGTGTTGGTTGACAATTGTTTTGAGTTCCAGATGTTCTTCAGTTGTAAATATGCTGCTCTTGCTTTCTCGATCCGCGCCTTCACATCCACATCAGATCCACCGTGTTCATCGATAATGATGCCCAGATATGTAAAGGTTTTCACACCCTATAAAGCTTCTCCGTCAAGTCAGATTTGATTGGTGCATATTACGTTGTATCGGAGAATCTCCCTTTTTTCTTTATGTATGTTGGGACCTACTGCTGCTGAGGCCGGTGCTACACTGGTCGTCTTCTCCTACGCTTGTTGTTGCGTGTGTGATAAAAGAGCCAGATCATCTGCGAAGTCTAAATCGTCCAGCTGCATTCTAGCTGTCCACTGTATCCCGTGTTTCCTTACAGATGTTCACATTTTCATGATTTAGTCAATCACCAGAAGAAAGAGAAGGATTGAGAGTAAGCAACCTAGCCTTAAACGAGTCGTTGAGTTGTCTTCCATGAACGATTTTGCAGTTTAATCCATCATAGGAATTCCGTATGATATTGACTATCTTTGCAGGCACGCCATAGTGTCGAAGAAGCTTCCATAGTGTAATCCTGTTCACGCTATAAAATGTCTTCTCGTAGTCAATGAAGTTGATTTAGGGTGATGAATTAAATTCAATTGATTGTTCCACAATGATCCGTAGAGTTGCGCTTCGTTCCGTACACGATCAATCCTTACGGAATCCAGCCTGCTGATCTCGAAGTTGGGAGTCTACGGAGTCCTTCATTCTGTTTAACAATACCCTGTTGAAGACCTTTCCTCGTATTGAAAGAAGAGTGAAATCATGAGTCAATCGACGGTAGACCGCCATAGAAAACCTGAAAGCACTGGAAGGCCGTTTCGTTCTATTGTAAGACATTTCAGCAGTGAGCATCCACGATCCGGCCTAGCGAGATTCGAACCCAGGACTTATCCGTCTAGCGTGCAAACGCTTAAACTGTAAACCACCGAGCTGGCATCCAAAGGTGTTAATGTCCAGTACTTCCAAATTTTCCATGGTGGTCCAGCCTCAATTGAGTTATGAATTCAATTGTCATTTAATTTGATTTCATCACACATTTAAAGTTCCAGTGTTTAATTACATCAGATTACAAAAGTATAATTTCCTTTCAACAAAATAATATAAATTCTTGTTTTATCTAATTTCTATGATCATGATACTCATTATAAAGAAAAAGTTTGTTAGATGGAAAAAGAAAAATTTTAATCTCCATGCTCACTAGCACAGTTTAATACATGTTCAATTAAAAACAAATTAGTATCCTATGTTGTGGTGTTGGTTACTTATATCCATATAAGTAGTATATAGTAATGGTCAAGCATAGAATATTATTTTGGCAGAAGATAGATAAAGAAAGAATAAGAACAAAGAGCAATCAATATGAAAAGGCATTAACAATGCAATCAGAGAAGATGGATTGATATTTACAGAAGGTACAATCAAGATTTTGTTAATTAACTGTTTACTGTATGATTATCAAATTTTAGTGAGATAGTGCTTAAATACATTTGATTGTTCCCAGTTGTGTTCTTGTTCACTAAACTATCTAAAATATTCACATTACTTTTTTTTTCAACATTCTATAATCAATTTCAAAAAATGTTAAGTGGATGATGATATTTTCTGCTTTATACATTCATTATACACTTCTTCATTTGGACAAATATACTTGAGTGGACTGCTTAAATATTAAGGCTACCTTGTTTCTGTAATCAAGATATTTCAATAAGTTATCTGTATTCTTGTTTGTTTTAATAGATCATTATGTTAATTAATTGCATAAGCTATTCAGA